TGAAGTAATAATAATAATATTACTAATAATACTAATAATAATAGATGAAGTTTGTATGAAAACGTCTAGGATATATATTCTTCTAGAAAATAATCACAATTATTATTTATTTAATAGTTAAATTCATGAGTCAATTGAAGCTAGATCGCCATGGAAACCCTCGAAGCACTGGATGACTGTTTCGTCCTATTGTAGGTCTCCTTAACAGTGCGCATTCATGATCCCATCCCACAATATTCGAACCTAGGATCTTTCAATCTCGCGCGTGAACGATTAACCTCTACACCATTGAGTCAGCCGGCATCCAATGGTGTTAATATCTAACTGCAACTAATCCATGTAATTGAGCGACACATCCATCATTGTGCTCAGTGAGTAACTATCTCACAACAGACCCGGTTGAACTTCACTGATCACTACTTCTCACTAGAAGTCCAGGAAATACCTCTTGAAGCCAGTCACTAGTGAGTTCAATTTCGTGGACTGGATGCCAGTTGAAACAGTGGTGTAAAGGTTAAGATTTCGCGTGCCAGATCGACAGGTCTTGGGTTCGAATCACGTGGGGTGAGATCGTGGGACTTGAATTCAGTAACGCTCGCTTCAAACGCTACCGTGTTATCCACTTAGCTATTGAGTCTTGATAGCTACTTGTTTGTGAAATCGGTTGAAGTTATGTTCACTTGTTGTTGTTGTTTAATTGTATGTTCCGATTGTTATTTAGGACTGCAGTGGATCAATCTCTTATTAGCATATATCTATCTTGTGCGAACTCCCTCGATATTGCCTTACATCGCAAGTATTATAAGCAATTGAGTAAGAAATTGAGTAATTTTGTCAGTATTCTGAGAATAGTATTAATTTAATATATTATACATTGTAATATTTTTTTATGATTGAAGGCAATATTCAATATATGTTAAAGCGGTATATGTGTACTTGACGATGAGCCATTCCTGTTATACATAAAAAAACATAGGCTTAAAAACTCTGTGTAAAACGTGTTATATATCTAAATTTATATCAAATTATTTCTTAATTTGAACTCTGTGATTAATTCATTTCCTTCAAACAATATTCCTCTATATTTGAGAATGATCATAAACCAGGAACTACTAGATACCTATTTCATCTAAGTATGGAAACAGCTAACAGTAAGCATTCACCAATTCATCAGTGATAGAAACCAGAACCTTCAGAACTGGTATCGAGAGTATACCTATTAGAATATTTAAAGGTTATCTAACGGCTTAAATAGTAGTAGTAGTAGTAGTAGTAGTAGTAGTAGTAGTAGTAGTAGTAGTAGTAGTAGTAGTAGTAGTAGTAGTAGTAGTAGTAGTAGTAGTAGTAGTAGTAGTAGTAGTAGTAGTAGTAGTAGTAGTAGTAGTAGTAGTAGTAGTAGTAGTAGTAGTAGTAGTAGTAGTAGTAGTAGTAGTAGTAGTAGTAGTAGTAGTAGTAGTAGTAGTAGTAGTAGTAGTAGTAGTAGTAGTAGTAGTAGTAGTAGTAGTAGTAGTAGTAGTAGTAGTAGTAGTAGTAGTAGTAGTAGTAGTAGTAGTAGTAGTAGTAGTAGTAGTAGTAGTAGTAGTGGTAGTAGTAGTAGTAGTAGTAGTAGTAGTAGTAGTAGTAGTAGTAGTAGTAGTAGTAGTAGTAGTAGTAGTAGTAGTAGTAGTAGTAGTAGTAGTAGTAGTAGTAGTAGTAGTAGTAAAACATACTTATATAATTTCATTAAACATGATATCAGAAGTACACAGATACACACCAATAGACTATATTTCGAGAAAAATGAAGGTCAGATTATTCGTCATCTATTCAAGCTGTTTATTTATTTAATTATACATAATTTACTAGTAATTATTATTCATTATTTACATTCTGAAATGTATTATTATTATTAATATGTTTTCCCCTAACTCTTAATCATATGTAATTTCACTTATCTACCTATTTGCTGCCTTACTTACTTACTTACTTACGCCTTTTACCCTTCATAGAGAAGCATAGGCCGTTCACCAGCTTTCTCGATTCCAACTCCTATATCCTAGGCAACAATATTATATATATCATTCCGACTAATATCAACTATGCTTAAAATGAATGAAATTTCATTTATAGTAAATAATGATCTTATCTAACTGATGATCAAAATATCTTTTTAAGCACAGATGCTTATTTCTATGATTGTTTATATATTACATATGACTTGTATACAATTCATATATTGTATTGGCTTTATATGGTTAAACAGATGGGTAATTCTCTTTTCTCTCTCTCTCTCTCTCTGTTTTTGATTGATAGTATTTACTACAATCAAACAAACAAACTGGTTAGTAACATTAAATAATGAACATTTAATTATAATGTTTATATCCATTATATAATTATACCGCCAAACTTAAATGATGTACACCGATTCTTATTATTTGAAATTATGGGCATGACATAAATAATTAAATTTGTTTGTGTACATTAAGCTCGTGGGTTTTTTTGTGTGTTTTTTTCACTGTTTATAATTGGGTTTTTTTTCTACATCTTGATTGTATGACATTTAAAGTACAGAAATTGATATGGTGTCATATCAATTTATCAGAAGGATGCAGAGAGGGGGATTTGGGGAGGTTTTTAGTAATTTCAGCAGTTGAATTTATGAGACAATTGAAGCTAGACTACTATAGATCATAGGGAAATACTCATTGGACAACCGTTTCGTCTTAGTGTATCTGATGAAGTCATTGATAAATAAAGCAATTTCAATAGTGTAATAAGAAGATGAAGATTATCAGAACTATGTGATGATATATTAGCGCAATACATTTCGAACAATCTAATCACACATAATACATTTGTTTAGAACATTTATATAAATAAAGAAATAAAAGGTCGTCTAATCTACAAATGGAGGTTAAGGGAAGACAAGGATAATAAAGAAAATAATTTGGAAACAATTTGAAACTTCATCACTTTGGATAATAAGGGTAGATTTAATGTGATAATAAACTGCTCTTGAATATACAAAGGGGTTTTGAATTTTTGTATGCCTAAGGCTTTAATAAACCTTAGTATACTCCATTTAACACTTTTATACAAGACCATAATATCCGAGCTAATATCAATCTTATCAGCTAAATTCACTTGCTATTGTTTATTAGTATCTTCTCATTGTTATTTCGGACTGCAATTGGTCAGTCTCTTGTTGGTATATGTGCATCCGGTGTGGAATGCCTAGTTATTGCCTTAGGTCATAAGCTTTATAAGCAAAAATAGATGGTGGTTAGCACTGGAATCTAGGACGCGCTTTTCATCTTGCTTGGTATTCGTCAGCTGGATGTTCCTGCATCTCAGAGTTGATGTTCACTTTGTGACTCAATTAACGATAGTACCAAAATATTTACTTGATGTTATTCAATAATACTACCGCTTAACTACTATGCTGAGTTCTTTTCATACAAACTTATAATGAAAGGATCTTAATAGTAGAGTTACCTTTAAAATACTATTTTTCTTTTAAAAATTGTATAATCCATATTCTAATCAATCTTAATTTATCAGATTTAATCTGATTAAATGTTAAAACTTCAAATGAATATCCATAGTAACATCATTGAAAATACATTCAACTTATCTAATGAACTCCCAGAAACATATTTTAAACAATAAGATCAAAGTATTAATAGAGTATTATTATATATATAGCATGTATAATATTTTAACTTCGCTTGTAGCTCACATAGAGTTACTGCCCTGTCCCTACCCCGGGTAAAGGAAGAGGGTTGGGCATGAGGTTAGCGACCCCATCCCGTAGAAAACTAATTCGCTGAAAAAACTCTAACCGGAAAGAATATTTCAGTAATGTATAATATTATATTTCGATTCTTACTTTATTATGTTTACGATTGATGCATTACAGAACTAAACTATTCTTCATATATATTCAGTTTGTTGCATGTATTATTGATTTTAATAGTTGAGATCATAAACTAATTAAATCTAGACCACCATGGAAAGCCTAGAAGGATTTGACAGCCATTACATCCTATTGTGGGACTCTTCGTCAGTACGCGTCCACAGTCCTGCCTTACGAGATTCGAACCCGTCCGTCCAATACTTCCAGGTTTCCCATGATAATCTAGCTTTAATTTACTCATGATCTCAACTATTAAAATTACTATAATATCCACAAAACACATTCTGATATTAACCAGCATATGCTCACCAGTAACTAGTTTCAACAGATATATCCTGGAGTTCTGGCAAGAAGCAGTGATCAGTAGAGTTCAACTCGGGTATGTTGTGAGTTAGTAACTCACTGAACACAATGATGGATTCGTCGCTCAATTTCGTGGATTACTTAAACTTAGACATTAACACCATTTGATGCTGGCCAGCTTAGTGGTCCAATGGTTAAGAGCTCGCACACGAGACTAATAGATCCTGAATTCAAATCTCGAGGAGCGGGATCTTGAATGCGCAATGTTGAGGAGTCTCATAATATGAAGAAAAAGTCATCCAGTGCTTCGAAGTTTTCCATAGTGATCTAGCTTCAATTGCACTCATGATCTCAACTATTAAAATCACTATAATATTCACATAAAAACCCCTTGTGATATAATATTGAGTTAGATATTCTTTTCTTTTGAAATGATACTCCTCAGAAATATTTTATGATTAAATTTTATTTTCGTGTGTATTTGTAACTTAAATTTTAAAAAAAAGGCAACCGTGAAGTTTAGTATCTATGCTAAAGTCTGTATATCTTAGTTATAGTTACATACCAACTATATATGGTTCATACAAAAACCAAATATACTACTTACCCATCTATATATATAAATACATACATTGCGTGCACACAATGTATGAGGAAAAAATATGAAATATATGTTACCTGCTGTCTTCCATAATACAAAACTGATATCCATAAATCAAATGTTGATTTCACATGAAATAAAGTATGTTGAAACAATGTTAAAAAAGACTCACATAGGAAACTCATGCAATGTTAAAGGATGTTTATGATGATAAGTTACTAGAGGAAATACTTGTTAGTTTAAAAAGAAACAAGTTTCAGTGTTAATTTCAGAGATTTTTGAAGAAGAAGAAGAAGAAGAGGAAGAAGAAGAGGAAGAAGAAGATGGAGAAGACGATGATGATGATGATGATGATGATGATGATGATGATGATGATGATGATGATGATGATGATGATGATGATGATGATGATGATGATGATGATGATGATGATGATGATGATGATGATGATGATGATGATGATGATGATGATGATGATGATGATGATGATGATGATGATGATGATGATGATGATGATGATGATGATGATGATGATGATGATGATGATGATGATGATGATGATGATGATGATGATGATGATGATGATGATGATGATGATGATGATGATGATGATGATGATTTTGATGTTCACTTGTGTTAATGGTTTGTGAAGAAGGATTTATAACTATATTTTACACCCGAAATTATGATGATTTCTGTCTTACGTATATCAACCCTCGTGGAGGAGCGTTGTCTACCTAACAATACTCCCCATACAACTCTGTCTTGTACAATACTTTACTGTTTTTCTGTTCAGTTGCAATCTATCCCGTTGATATCTACTCCTGATTTCCGACACAATGTGTTCCATGGTATTCTTCTTTTTCGTTTCCCTTCACGATTTCGGGTAGTAAGCGCTTGACTCGTGATGCAGTTTGTTCTTTTTCGTAATGCATGTCCTATCCACCAACCCATTAGGCACTTCCGAAATTCTTTCTCATTTCGAACCTGGTTTGTTATCTCGCACAGTAGACTGTCGCTGATGGTTTTCATCCAAAGGACATTGAGTATCATACGTAGACAGTTATTTACAGCTACTTGTACAGTTTCGATTAATATTGTGGTAATTGTGGAAGTTTCAACTCCGTACAGTAGAACTAACTGTGTTGACGTTCATATTGAAGATTATGACTTTGATATTGACTAGCTGATTGATGTTCTTCCTTCCACATTATCCATGTTTTTTATCTCTCAATTTTCCATATATAAATGCCTTAACATGTGAACGTGTGATTACAATTTTTCAAAGTGTATTACTCCTATCTAACAAGTGCATAGATCTAATAAATCTCGTCTCCTGATTGGATAAACTGGATTTACCTATAAAACTAAGAGTTTAAGCCTTGAGTTCTGTAGTTATAAAGTGAAAACTCACTTCTTTTTTTACGTGTTACCTGAAAAATAATAATAAGCAGTATGGGGTTGTAGAACTCCGCCTGGAGTCCCTCTGGGGGCTACTGCCGGTCCCAAGCCCGGATAAAGGAGGAGGGTTGGGCATGGGGTTAGCGTCCCCATCCCGTAGAAAAATAACTCGCTAAAAAAAACGCTAACCAGAAAAAATTATTCAAACCTTTTAAACTCTGCCTTGGGAGTCAGAAGATCTTCATTTAGAAGAATTATGACGCCTCATGATGAAAGCCGAATCCCTTCGGAAGTTATGAGGCCGATGCCCCTTCTGACAACCAGACCAAACATTTATTTAGGTACATGGAATGTTCGTACAATGTGGGACACCGGAAGAGCCTTCCAAATTGCTGCAGAAATGAGAAGATACAACCTAGAGGTACTTGGGATCAGTGAAACACATTGGACACAAGTTGGACAACAACGACTAACTACAGGAGAGCTCCTGTTATACTCCGGCCATGAAGAAGAAAATGCACCACATACACAAGGAGTTGCATTGATGCTGTCCAAACAAGCACAAAATGCACTTATAGGATGGGAATCTCATGGACCAAGGATCATCAAAGCCTCCTTCAAAACAAAGAAAGAGGGCATTTCAATGAACATCATTCAATGCTATGCGCCTACCAACGACTACAATGAAGACGCGAAAGATCAATTCTACAATAGGCTGCAGTCAATCGTCGAGAAGTGCCCAACAAAGGACCTGACCATTCTGATGGGAGATTTCAACGCCAAGGTTGGAACGGACAACACTGGATATGAAGACATCATGGGACGACACGGACTGGGAGAAAGAAACGAAAATGGTGAGAGATTTGCAAATCTATGTGCCTTCAATAAGTTGGTCATAGGCGGCACCATATTCCCACATAAACGCATACACAAAACCACATGGACTTCACCGGATCACTCTACACAAAACCAAATCGACCATATTTGCATCAACAAAACGTTCAGGAGGACTATAGAGGACGTGAGAACCAAGAGAGGAGCTGATATAGCATCAGATCATCACTTACTGGTCGCCAAGATGAAATTGAAACTCAAGAAGCACTGGACAACGGGGCAGACAATATCACAAAAGTTCAATACGGCCTTTCTCCAGGATACTAATAAACTCAACGAATTCAAGATAGTCCTCAGCAACAAGTTCCAGGCCTTTCATGATCTACTCAATGGAGAAGGAACTACTGTGGAGAGCAACTGGAAGGGGATCAAAGAGGCAATCACTTCAACATGTCATGAGGTCCTGGGTCACAAGAAACACCACCACAAGGAATGGATCACTGTTGGTACATTGGACAAGATTCAAGAAAGGAGGAACAAGAAGGCAGAGATCAATACCAGCCGAACAAGAGCAGAAAAAGCCAAGGCACAAGCTGAATACACGGAAATAAACAAACAAGTGAAAAGGAGCATCAGAACCGACAAACGTAAATATGTGGAAGATTTAGCAACGACGGCGGAAAAGGCTGCAAGAGAAGGAAACATGAGACAATTGTATGACACGACAAAGAAACTCTCTGGAAATCGCCGCAAACCAGAACGACCAGTGAAAAGCAAGGAAGGCGAGGTAATCACCAACATTGAAGAGCAACAAAACAGGTGGGTAGAACACTTCAAAGAACTCTTGAATCGACCAGCCCCACTGAACCCACCCAACATCGAAGCAGCACCCACGGACCTCCCAATTAATGTTGGCCCACCAACAATTGAAGAAATCAGCATAGCCATCAGACAAATCAAGAGTGGCAAAGCAGCAGGACCGGACAACATCCCAGCAGAGGCACTAAAAGCAAACGTAGCGGCAACTGCACGGATACTCCACATTCTCTTCAATAAGATTTGGGATGGGGAACAAGTACCAACAGACTGGAAAGAAGGACTACTGATCAACATACCGAAGAAAGGCGATCTCAGCAAGTGTGATAACTACAGGGGCATCACTCTTCTCTCAATACCGGGAAAAGTCTTCAACAGGGTATTGTTAAACAGAATGAAGGACTGCGTAGTCGCCCAACTTCGAGACCAACAGGCAGGATTCCGTAAGGATAGATCGTGTACAGACCAAATCGCAACTCTACGGATCATTGTGGAACAATCAATTGAATGGAATTCATCACTCTACATCAACTTCATTGACTACGAAAAGGCATTTGATAGCGTGGACAGAACAACACTATGGAAACTTCTTCGACACTACGGCGTGCCTCAGAAGATAGTCAATATCATACAGAACTCATATGATGGATTACACTGCAAAATTGTGCATGGAGGACAGTTGACAAAGTCGTTCGAAGTGAAGACCGGTGTCAGGCAAGGTTGCTTACTCTCACCCTTTCTCTTTCTCCTGGTGATCGACTGGATCATGAAGACGTCAACGTCTGAAGGAAAGCGCGGGATACAATGGACATCTAAGATGGAGTTGGATGATCTAGACTTCGCAGACGATCTGGCCCTTCTATCCCAAACGCAACAACAGATGCAGGAGAAGACAAACAGTGTGGCAGCAGCCTCAGCAGCAGTAGGTCTCAATATACACAAAGGGAAAAGCAGGATTCTCCGATACAACACAGCATGCACCAATCCAATCACAATTGACAGAGAAGATTTGGAAGATGTGAAAACCTTTACATATTTGGGCAGCATCATTGATGAACAGGGTGGATCTGATGCAGATGTGAAGGCGCGGATCGGCAAAGCAAGAGCAGCATATTTACAACTGAAGAACATCTGGAGCTCAAAGCAACTGTCAACCAACACCAAGGTCAGGATTTTCAATACAAATGTCAACACAGTTCTACTGTATGGGGCAGAAACCTGGAGAACTACAAAAGCCATCATCCAGAAAATACAGGTGTTTATTAACAGTTGTCTACGCAAAATACTTCAGATCCATTGGCCGGACACTATTAGCAACAACGTACTGTGGGAGAGAACAAACCAGATCCCAGTGGAGGAAGAAATCAGGAAGAAGCGCTGGAAGTGGATAGGACACACATTGAGGAAAGCACCGAACTGCGTCACAAGACAAGCCCTCACATAGAATCCTGAAGGTCAACGGAAAAGAGGAAGACCAAAGAACACATTACGCCGAGAACTGGAGATAGACATGAGAAAACTGAATAAGAATTGGATGGAACTAGAAAAGAAGGCCCAGGACAGAGTGGGTTGGAGAATGCTGGTCAGCGGCCTATGCTCCATTGGGAGTAACAGGCGTAAGTAAGTAAGTAAGTAAGATGGGGTTGTAGAGATTGTTAAGTTTTTGATTGAGATCATGAACTGATTGGTGTGAGGCCACCGCTGAAAAGCCGAATTGGTTAAGATTAGATATTAACACTTTTGGATGCTGTCACAGTGGTCTCAATGGTTCGTGCGCGAAACCGAAGGCCCTGGGTTTGTATCCCGTTAGCGGGTACATGGATGCGCATAGTTGAAGAGTCCAACAATAGGATGAAATGGCTGTTCAATACTTCCAAGTTTTCAACAGTGGCCTAACATCAATCGGTTCATGATCTCAATCAAAATTATTAATAATCATTTTAATAAACTATCTAATAATACTTGTTACAGATTATTTGCATTATCCATATTCATTTTCACTTCTTAAACAAAACTGTTCAATAAATTCCTATAACAATTGTCTATTATACCTCAATTCAATTATAAGTTTTAGAATTAGTTAATTGAAATCTTGATTGACTGATTGAATAAGTAATTAATTAATCAATTAATTACTACACAATCAATTGGGAATAATTACTTCGTAAAGTAATTAAAAAGTTTATAATTACATAACTTGCTACACACGGATTACATATCGATAAATTAGGCCAATCAAAAGTTAGCAAACGACAAATGCATGTGATTGGCCATGAAATGGTTTTATAATCCTAAAGATAAGACATGAATCAGTGATATATATATATATATATATATATATATATTAGATCATAACCCACAGAACTAACCATTAATAAATGACACCGAACTTGTAGCACACAGATAATAACAAATGTATGTTAGTTAGTTAGTTAGTTAGTTAGTTAGTTAGTTAGTTAGTTAGTTAGTTAGTTAGTTAGTTAGTTAGTTAGTTAGTTAGTTAGTTAGTTAGTTAGTTAGTTAGTTAGTTAGTTAGTTAGTTAGTTAGTTAGTTAGTTAGTTAGTTAGTTAGTTAGTTAGTTAGTTAGT